TGGGTGGACTCATATAGTCAGGTACCCATCAGAGCTGGATGACTGACAGTCAGGTACCCATCAGAGCTGGGTGGACTCAGAAAGTCAGGTACCCATCAGAGCTGGGTGGACTCAGAAAGTCAGGTACCCATCAGAGCTGGGTAGACTCATATAGTCAGGTACCCATCAGAGCTGGATGGACTCATATAGTCAGGTACCCATCAGAGCTGGATGACTGACAGTCAGGTACCCACCAGAGCTGTGTGGACTCAGTGACGGTCTACTGACTACACTGCACTACACAGTCACGTCACGTGTGTCGGGTCACCAGTCAAGCGTGCAGGTGACAAATACAACACGTCTGCCAGGTGTGCTGGGGCTTACCTACACACAATGACAAATTGATGAGTCCGGCTAGTTTGTTAGACACCTTCCGCGTTGAGGGGGGGGGGGATGACACAAAAATATATAGGGCATAGGTGTCACAGCGCTGTGTTATGTCCCTTGACAAAATTATTTATGCAATGCATTTGGGTTTCAAGCTATCCATACAAAGTAGGTAATTTCACATGATTAAACACACACACACACACACACACACACACATTTCAAGGACACCCCCCCCCCCCACACACACACACTCACACACACTTATAAACTTCAGATTTACATTTGTCGTTATATGCACGAGAAGTACACACAAATAGGACTATATTATAATTCTGATAATACTCCGAAAATTCAATAAATGGTGTTTAGATAATCAAATCAGATAGCAGTTCATGGTACCATAAAGCAGGCATCTCGGTTCTTCTTTCAAACGTAAACATCCTTGCATAGCAAGCTGTATTGTATTTAAGGAGTTAACAATCGACATTGTACAGCTGTTTGAGTTAATAGTGCTGTGTTTTCTTTTGTTTGGAAGTGTTTGCTTCAATCAATAGTTGGTGGCTGATCACTAATTAAAACACCTGTTAGGTGTGCACGTGGTTAGTGAACAGGTGTTGCGTTACATCTGCAGAGATTTTTTTTTTAAACTTCGCCTCAAAAAAAAAAATAATCTAACATCGTCTTTTTACTTCAGAGATTTTATATATACAGGGCTTCTCAAGTCGTTAATAAACTCGTGTGTGTGTGTGTGTGCGCGCGCTGAGGGTGTTATTGTATGTCAGCATATATATATATATATATATATATATATATATATATATGGTATATATATATGTGGTATATATATATGGTATATATATATATATATATATATATATATATATATATATATGTATATATATGTATATATATATATATGTATATATATATATGTATATATATATATATATGTATATATGTATATATGTATATGTATATATGTATATGTATATATGTATATGTATATATATATATATATGTATATGTATATATATATATATGTATATATATATATATATATATATGTATATATATATATATATATATATATATATATATATATATATATATATATATATATATATATATATATATATATATCAAGGTGCGTGTATTAAGACATGAGAGCCGCTTAAGACCACTGTGGGGGAGGACATGACAAATCACATGCAGGCTATGACGACGCCTACACAGGAAACCAGGGGTCCAATTACATTTGTTGTTGTTTTTAAAATCCTTGCTGTATGCAGACATAAGTCCTTACATGGGCTTTAAGCTCGGGCCATATGGCATAGCGGCAGGAATGGCAAGACAATAGTCTCGAAAGAAGTGACGTCATGGGGCATGCTAAAAATAGACTGGCTTGGCCCTCTCCGTTTTAAAAATGTATTTACGTATCACTGTGTTTATGTTGTTTGTTTTGTTTGTACAATAAGGTGTACTGAAGAAACAGGAAAGGGATTTCCGGTTTAACGGGTCTAATAAACAGGCAATTAATGTATCACCCCCCTCCCACATTTACACACACTATACAGAGTTATTTATGTGTAGAAAATGTACAACAGATTTCACTACAAGTGCAGCTCTTTTCAATCAATAAACGATTCAGTAAAAGAGAGTTCAAATGGGTTTATATCGTTTACATCAGTACGGTTTTTGCTTTGATATAAACGGCGCCTGGTAAACCCCCGCTCCCAGAGTATTCTAGTGGACACTCCATAACAATGTCACCACACACTTTAGCAAAGCATATCGGTAATTCCCCCCCACCCCACCCCCCACCCCTTCTCTACCAGTATTCTTGTTCTCATTCTATAACAATTCCACTAAACATTTTAACAAAGCATATCAGTAACCCCCCCCCCCTTCTCTACAAGTATTTTTGTGGACATTCTATAACAACTCCACTAAACATTTTAGCAAAGCATATCACTAGTCATATCAGTAACCCCCCCCCCCCCTTGTCTACCAGTATTATACCCATCAGAGCTGGGTGGACTCAGGGTGCATAAGACCTAACCGAGATCCGAACTCGACACCTTAGGGTTGGAAGCCAAACGCTCTACAGTTCGACGACACCGTCCCCCAGTCATAACATCCTAAAAATCCCTAACAGTGATAGTGCCTGTTCAAGTCGTTATATGTTACTCCAATACCATGTGGGCTGTTATACAAGTACCAAGTCCAGTGGCGTAGGCAGGGGGGGGGGGGAGTTAGGGGGGGGGGGGGCATAACCGCCCCCCATAGGCCCCTCGGTATATATATAAAAAGTATGAGGGGGTGCAAATCGAAAGTTTCAGGGGGGGGGATGCAAATCGAAAGTTTGGGGGGGGGTTGCAAATCGAAAGTTTGAGGGGGGGTTGCAAATCGAAAGTTTGTCCCCGGGTAAAAATTGGAACCTCCCCCCCCCCCCTTGAGACGATCCTGGCTACGCCACTGACCAAGTCTTTATATAACGAGCTATAGTTTATAATTGTTAGGCTTCTAACCTGAAAGTCTCGAGTTCGAATCCAGGTTCAAGTCAGTCGACCGTCTCTGAGTCCACCCAGCTCTGATGGGTTAAATAATAAAACATAAATCAAGTTAGGGAAAATAAAGGCGGCTGGGCATAGTGCTGACCACACATTCCTTTTATACGCAGAGGTCAAGAAACATATGAACTCTACTTCATCTGCCAAGTGAACTGCTAGATCTAAAGAGGATTCTTTACTTAGTGTGCATTGGCCTGCCAAAAATCTCAAGGGGGAAAAACCCGCATCTTTTAAAGCGAAAAAAAAAACCCCTACTTAAAGTTAAATAAACAAAAAAAAGCGAACGGTCTAAAAACCCAAAGCCAAAGTACACAGCACTCAACAGCCAATGCTAACACACGTTCGTCCACATCAAACCCTGCCCTAGACTTAGCACGGACTCCATGTGATCCAGCTGAACTGGGCTTTTTCCAGCAAATTTGTCAAAGATGTCGTGATGGGGAAGGGGGGGGTATGGGCCAAAGTAGTGTTCAATTTTTTTTTGTTTAAATGTCATGTTTTAAAAATTCAGTTGAAAATTTCACCTTGATCTCGCACTAGCCCATCAAAATATCTATGTATAGATAGATGAAACCACTAGACTTCCAAAACCAATCTGAATATAGGTGTAATACATTTTTCTAATTAAAAATCACCTAACAAAAACAAAGGAGGGGGGAGATGGGGTCTGGAACGGAAAAATGGCTTTGCAGTGTTTATTAATGGAGACAATTGCTTGGAGAAACAAGCAATTTACGGGCAGTGTAAGTGTAACCGAATGAATTAAATTCGCATCTAGAGATGCCACAGTATATGTATAGATGATCGATTGAAAAGGCCACGATTAAATATAGGCCTAATCAATATAAATTTAAAATCGTGGTTTACATGTGGAAAAAAAAAAGAAACTCTAATTAATTTATAATTCGTGACCAAGAACATCAATAACTTAGCGTTAGGGTTAGGAATAAGCGATAGGACTAGGCCATTGTAACACCTGAGCTTTGATGATGTTCGGGATTATACATCTGACTATTAAAAGTTAATCTTTGCTTGAGGGGCTCTTTTTTTTTTTTTTTTTTTGATGCAACCAGATTGATAGTAGCTATTAGAACGTCACCACAAAAGACTTTTTTTTTCTTACCCCACCCCCTACCCATTCAACTCCTCCCCTTCCAGTCTGGGGTGGGTTAAACTATAGCGAGGCCCATGAATGAAAATTATTCTGTGGGGTCCATAAATTGTGCGGGGGGGGGGGGGGGGGGCCTTGGCTGTAGCCTTGTCAGCCTATATCTTAATCCGCGACTGTACTCTCCTCCCACTCCCCACCTCCTTTGTGTCCCATATATATATGAGCTCTTTTTATAGTCGTACACTTACATACAATCTCATATCGATGATGAGTAAGGGTTAATTTAAGTGTTATAGTATCGATTTACGATGATCAATATTAGAAATTCGATTAATATGTACGACTACAAGTAAAGTTTCAACTACTTAATATTCATATTCGTTAATAATTATGAATAAAATATAAATTCCATTCCGTCCACACCCCCCCCCCCCCCTCACCATTGTGCTTCCCGTGATAAACACGACTAACCCATTATTTATATCCCCCTAGTCAGTCCCACGACGGAATCCGATATAACTGCGACCTTTGACACCGACCAACCCACTTTGATCACGCACCAGTATCATCGCCCCAGCCCCTGAGATAACACCAATAAAAACGAGGCTGCGGCTGGACACACAGTCCGGTGACACAAAACACATGTCGGGGCAGACGACCAGAACACAGCTGTGCAGTCGCCGCCGTCTGCTAAGCGATGTCTGCCCCCCTAAACTATACACAAAATTTAAAAACAACCCAAGCCTAATCATCAAGTCGAACTGTATAGTGCGAACGACGTGTGTTAAAACTTAACACATCCCGTGTTTACAACTAACCCATGAATTCACTTACCGACACGGCTACTGTGTTAAGCCTTGAAACTGATAGCAGTTACACAAGAGATAAGTCGCTTTACACTACTTTTTACACGTATTAAAATACTGTAATACTATTAAACTTTCACCTACCTGTAAAGAACGAACACAAAACAACACACTCAGATATCCTAAATGAAAGCATGAAGCTGATTTTAATTTATCCTTAGCCTAGGCCCGCGAGGTATGTGGCATAGGACCGTTCTAGTTAAGTGTTTGGTATTTGCAGGTAAAAAAAAAAAACTTCTTTGCAAGCAGACGACTGTCTCGTATCTAAGTTGGTGACAAATAAAAACTGCTTTGGCCGTCGTTTAAAAAAAAATCTGGGGCACTGATCGTGTCATTTTTTTGCAGAGTGCTTTTTTTTTTTTAGTTCACGGCGATATGTCTGTTGACGGCATGGAAATATTTCTGTTAAATGGGATTCGTTACGCTTGGCTTGTTTACATAACTGCCTCGCGGGTGTTGTTTATGTATTTTTTGTTTTGTTTCGTCTTCATCGGTCCGGCTTTTTATTGAAATATTAATGACCGGATGTTCGTGTCACATTCTTGGACAGGCGGTCTAGACAGGCAAGAGTGTCTGGCCATCACGTGTCAACAACAGCAGACGAGAATGTGTTGACGTTTCTGCTTAAACATTTGGACATCAAAGAATGAAAAAAAAAATAATAACTTGTTTATTATATTTTCGTGTTTCAATGTCATATGTAATCATGGCCCATCCTTAAACACCTCACACTTTTTTTTATTTTACAATTTTTTTTTTCTAAAATGACTTTATAACCGGGCTTCACCCCACCCCCCCCCCCTTTACACACACATCCATGCTCAAAACTAATTTGAAAAAGTAGTTTAAAAAATACGAACAAACAAAAAAACTCAGCTAAATTTAAGTTCCAACTTCAGTTGTTGTTTTTTTTAATTATGCAGGAGTGAATCGTCACATTTTCTGAATCCACATCTCCTCATCTTCGTCACACAATGAATCTAGATCTAGTCATTAAAGGGCCGAAACACCCCTGCCAGGAGTCTTACCATAGTGTCTTTTCGGGGGGGGGGGGGCTCTAGAAAATATATACTTTTAACAGTGTCCGCCCTCCACACCCTCTGAAATTTAAGTCTGCACCCCTGCTTTCCCTCCCCCCCCCCCCCCCCGCAGAAAAAAAAAGTCTGGAAACACTGAGTGTGACGACATCGTTAATAAACTACCTCTTAATAGAGATATACCCAATACAGGGGTAACCAAATTTTCTTCACCTTCTTCGTTCTTTGTTGTTGGACGGGATTTCCTCCAACACGATTAAGTATGTGCCATCTAGGCCATTGACTCCGATTTTTTCAGCCTGCGTTTCTTTCGGATTAACTTCCACAGCCTTTGTCCATCCAAAAACAATTTGCAAGGATATAGTTGTTTGATTTTGGAGTTCTGTCTTATGATGGGTTGCTGTCCCCAGCTAATGACTTGATGCGGATATACTTTTTCAGCAAGACAAGAAAAAGGCGTGGGTTGTCAAAAAAAAAAAGATGGGGGATGAATTCGACTGATTGGCAGACGACAAAATAATTACAGCCCGGGCACTTAACCCGTCTCTGTCAATTAAGCTTAGGGGGGCGCCCCACGCACGAGACGAGCGCGTGGTCTACTTGTCTATTGTACGCTAACCATAAGGGGCGCCCGCTGTCGTTAGGGACGCCCGCGCAGGCCGATTATAACTTGACAGGGCTGTGGGTATTAGATAGGAAAATAACAAAAGGTTATCAAGGGACTTGGTCGCTATAGACGCCTCTGTGGTCTGTAAAGTTGGACTGGGGTTATTGTAGTTATTGTAGTTAGCACTGCTAGGTTTTTTGTAAAGGGGGGGGGGGGGGCTGTATACCATTTGTAGCTGTATCGGTATTTAGATATAAATCTTTACAGAAAAGTCATAAGGGGGTGGGGGGATGCCGTCTGCACTGGATGACACCATTTAAGGGTGACACCAGTTAAAAAATCTTAAAACCTACTGCGAAATAACGTTTTATTCAGTTGAAATAGTAAAATCGTGAAAAAAAAATGGAGAGGGTGATACTAAACTGAAGATACCAATTTTTTTTGAAGGAGGTGGGGTGACATCCCCAGTTACCGCACTAGATGACACCCGACCTAGTGACGCCATTGAAATCTTTTTATCACCGGTTAACGCCCTTTAAAATCTGCAACATGTGTGGAGTTTTTTTCATTAACATGCTTGTTAAAAATACATTAAAAAAATTAAGTTTTGACATAAGGACTACTTCAGAATTAGATAGAACTATGAGCTGCAATGATATATACATATAAGTATTGTGTTGTTATATTCACAACAGGCAACTGTAATTAATCTAAAGGGTGTGCGTTCGATCCCAGTCTAGTTTCAATATTGAGTTTTTACGACATACCGGAGTGCCCTGTTTACATCGGTGAGTGGGGGGGGGGGGGGGGGTGGGTCGGGACCACGGTGGAAGAAATGTATGACAAGAAGTATGACATCGTGAAAGATGGCATGAAAGACGACATGATAGATGGCATGATAGATGATATAAAAGACGACAAATGATGACGTGAAGAATGATTAGAGGACGTACAAATGGCATGAAAAATAAAATAAAATAAAATTAAAATAACCTAAATCTCGTCTCCCTATTGTATCCCACCTCCATATTGTTACGCTTCGACACAAATAATTCCCACACATTACTACAGATTACCGCCATTCCAACGAAAATGTTCATGTTTTTCACCATTTTTAATAATTAAATTTCTTTTTTTTTTAAAGAAATGAAAATAAATACCATATTACAATTCCTCCCCCCCCCCCTATCTCGCACTTAACACGTCGTCACAAAAGTCCTATCTCTCCTCCCCCCTCCTCCTTCCCCTTGAGTGTGGCCAGTGTGGCATCAATTTCAATGAACTTTTAGCACTGCGTCTTAGCTTCACAAAAGAACTCCATTAACCAACACCTTTTAAAAAAACCATGCAGTTTTTTTTTTTCCAATTTTTTTTTTAAACAAAAACAAAAAATTAACTTTTTGACAGCCTGCTCTGGCCTGCTAATTCATCGGCTATGTTAATTAGAATGGTTAATTAGAAAGCTCGTTCCATCAATAACGGCTAGGTTGTCAAAACTGCACGCTCTTCATCTTCTGCTGGCAAAAAAATAAAAATAACTCAAAACAATTTCTATTTTTAGAATCGTTGCTATTATCGCAGCTGTTTAAAAACGTGTGAGTACAGTTTTCAATACTGAAATTGGACAAAAACTGTGTTAGCTTACACATTGGGGATGGAGAAGGGGGGGGGGAGTTATATGAAACTGCAAAAGGTAGGTCGAGATAGAGGTAGTTGTAATGGGGGGGGGGGGGGGTAGGGTGGTATACAATGTTTCGAACATCAAAGCGACTCTTATGTATCGATTCCACTTTACGTAACTTTTTTTAAAACGTAAATGGTGCTTTATGAGCCCCATTTTTACATCCAATTTTTTTTCTGGGTGTTTTTTTTTTCACTGAAGCCTTTTTGTTTTTAAAATTTTGCTATGAATATTCTCGTTAGACTAGTTATAATATAATTTTTCTCTTTACATTTTCGTATTGATTAGCATGTTTTGACGTTGAGCGATTCAAATAAAATGTGTTTAGTTATTCTAAATTAAATATTTCATAACTGTGCATGTCTATTGTTAATTGAATTTACTTTAGCAGATAAATACTAACATAAATAATAAATTTTTTTTTTTTATTTTTAAGTGGAGCGTTGTTTCATGCTAACTAAAATATAGGTCTAAAAATATTAAATTTTGAATCATGTTTTTTTTTTGTACAGGTTTGTTTCATCCTAACTAAAATATAGTTCTAAAAATGTTAAATTTTTCAATCATGTTTTTTGTTGTTGTAAAGACATACAAAACGGATATGACAGTGTGGTTGAGTGACTGAACTCGCGATTTCCAAGCCGAAAGTCTCGGGTTCGATCACTAGCCGGTCCTTGAGTTTATCCAGCTCTTGTGGGTACCTGACACATGATGTAGAAAGTAAAGACGGCTGGGTATAGAATGAACAACACTATCCGAGATCACTGAAACAGTTGAACTCTACTTCATCTGCACGACCATCATGTCCAAATGGAGAATTATTAAAATGACTCTACGCAATGGGTTCGATCATTGATAAAGTTAAAATAGAAGATATAGTTTGTTCGCACGATTTTAAAAGCTCATTAACATTATGCTATCAAAATAAATAAATACATGTTCATTCGGTGAACTCAAGTTTACATTTGATGAATTTATAACTTTAAGAAGAATATTAAACCTGTGCTCATCTTAGGTTTTTTTCTTTTATAAGAGTTTTTAAATAACCCGTTGATTGTTTCTACCGAGATAACGTTTTGTTTGTAAGCAATAACAAGTAAGTAAAATTCAAGCTTATTAAATGTGGATTTTTTTTTTTTAATTTATGGAATTTCTAATGAGTGTTGTTAAAGTAACGTACCCAACTTAGAATAGTCTCGAAATTTTTCGAAGTTCATTCTTTTTTTTTAAAATCAAGTTCTGTGTTATTAAAATAAAATTTATATCGTCATCAAAATCTGTCTGTTTGATTTTTGTTGGACTTTACTAAAGATTGGATGTAATTGATGGTTTTAGTATTTTCGGTAACTAAACAAAATTTAATCAAAAGCCAACAGAAAGATCTCAACTTTTGCAACTTTTACATCACCGATTCTTAAAAAATTTGAATTTTTTTCAAGCTAAAGTTATTAAATATTTTTTTTTACAACGTCTATGAAGGCAAAAATTATAAAAACACGCTTTTTATCTAGGTCAAAAAGGATGATTGAAGAATTCTCATCTACTCGTTGATGTCCATTAAATTAAAACTTTCTAACAAGGAGGCGAGTATACAGTGATTAGGGGTAATCTGGATTAACACTTCCACACGCATTAAATAAAAATTTAAAATATCGAACAGGGAAGGGGGGTGGGGGAAGCGAAAACAGTTTTTAAAGTTTAAAAAAAAACGCAGAAAAAAAACAGTTTTAAATTTTAAAAAAAAAGGAAAAAAACGGCAGAT